GAGTAAGCTAGAGGTGACTTAAAGCATATGGAGGTTGTGCACACACTACATGCAAATATCACACCATCTTATAGACAAAACTTAAACAACCAGCCAGGCAGGCTCTATCCTGGGCTGGCAGGAGGTGGAAAGAACATGCTGTGAGATGAACACGCTGCATCTCCCATCCACACTGGGGCTCTGTGAGCAAGCAGCTGCGATCTCCACCTCTCCTGTCCCCTGCTGGGCCCAGGGCTGCCGTGGTGACACAGCCCTGCCCTCCAGGCCTGCAGTCCCAAGGCCAGGCAGATGGACAGATAGGCAACTGGAGCACAGTTATGTGGTCCTGCCAGGAGGGTGGGTGGCCCTCAGTGAGGCTCTGTCCCCAGTTCGAAGTGCCTGATGATATCCATCCCTCCCAGCACCTCCTCCCAGGCCCATACAGGTCTGCTGTTTTCATTCTGCAGATGTGGAAACTGAACACCAGGGAGGCTGATAACTTGCTGGGGAACACAAGACCACTACATGCCTGAGGGCAAACTCAAACTCATTCCGCACCATCTCAGCAAGAAGCTGGGTCTCAGCGGTGCCTAGGGGATTAGGGGCTTGGAGGGCAGGAGAGAAGGCGGGAGAGGGCCGGGCAGAGGGCACCACACGGGCCAAGGCCCACCAGCCAGAAGTGCTACACAGAAGTGCTGGGAAAGCTGCCCAGCCTCCTTGGAGGATCTGCCTCAGCAGAAAGGGAGCCGTGACCCAACTCAACAGGGCCGCTCACCATCCACCCTGCTCCCTTGCTCACACTCTTACACACACACCCTCTGCACCGCACCACCAGGCTCACCACCCCATAGGTCATCACTTGCTTGAACCCAATTTATACTGACTCCCTATTGCCTCAAGGCCAAATTCCCAACTCTGCACATCACACTGAGGACCCTCCTAGTATCACCTTCAGAACTGAAGAGTTCCAAGCCCAAATTCCCAGCTTAAGATTAGCCATGAGCAAGTCATACAGTCTGCCAAGCCTCAGTATTCCCACCTGTAGATCCAAACACTTGCCTCATAGGTTGAGGTAAGGGCCAAATGAGAGTATTGGCAAAGCACGTGACACAGTGTATGTATAGCAACACATGTCAGCATTTGTACCTTAGACCATCCAACCTGCACGGCCCCTTGCATTGCTAAGCAGGTCCCTTCAACCACTTTCTTGCCTTAGCTGCTCTGCTCACCTCGAAGATCTTCTCTTCCCCCCTCTGACCTAACCATTCCCTCCCTGAGACTGGAGAACCTTCCCCTCCAGCCAATTGTCCTCCGGCTCAGTGGGTCTCAAACTTGGCTGCATGTTAGACTCACTGGGGAGTTTTTTTCTTTTCTTTTTTTTTGGTACTGGGGATTGAACTCGGGACGTTGCACTTGCAAGGCAGGCGCTTGAACCACTGAGCTAAATCCCCGGCCCCTATCACTGGGGAGTTTTAAAAACTCCTCTTGGGTAGGCCACAGGGGCCTGAGCACTTCAGAATTCTGGAGCCAGGTTGGTCCCCAGAGGCCACACAGATCCCAGGTGACGGAGATTTGCATAATAGCCCTCTAGCCTCTCCTTGCCCTGAGGTCCAAAGTTTGGCTCAATTTTTGATTGGTACAGGGACTTTCCTTGCCTGATAACAGGCTTCAGCGTGGCTGCAAACCCACTTTCTTGCAGAGGGACACAGACATTCCCTCACATTAGCTGGTGAGCCCTGAGCCCTACTTTTACCCCAGCAGGGCAGTGAGCACGCAGCAGGCTCATTTATCCCTGTCTCGCCTGCCTCCCCTTCCCCCTTGCTCTCTGAAGTCCCTCTCACTCAGAGCCCCAGGAGCGGGCCTCCAGTCCCCACCTGGCTCTCTGTGGGACTCCTCAACCTGCACCCAAGGGGCCTAGCCCATTCTCCCCACTTTCCTGCTGGGTCCTGCCTGCTGCCTCTCTATGGAGTCCCTCAGCACAGCTGTGGACCACCCTAGAGGGACCCTGGGCAAGGGGATACCTCCAGCCTTGCACATGATACCTCTCCAATACCTCACAGAACTCTCTCCTGCCCTGCAGGCTCTCTTTAGGACAAGACTTTGCCCTTCCCGTCAAAAGGGAGCATCTCTATCTCTGCCCCAGAACCTGGCCTGCCCTTTTCGACTGCCTCAGCCCTCATGGATGGCCACATGACACCCACCTGGTGGCTCTGAGGCTAAGAGGAAGGGGAGATCCAGCTTCTCCTATATCCCCCTCATGGGGAGCTTCTTCCTAGAACCCATGGGCCAGACTTCAAGGGAGCACAGGCCTTGTGGGGAGCCCACTCCAGCCGAGGCCTCTGCCACAGTTGGGTCAGCAGCACACATGTGCTTGAGCCCAGTGCTGCCACTGTGTGGGACACGACCCAGCCCTAAGGGTGAAGTGGCCACTGCTCAACCCACTAAGTGTAAGTGGCCCATTACACAGCAGCAGATAACTCATATGCAGTTTCTGAAAATAGGTTCCAGGCCTTTGGGACCCCAGGGCTCAGCAGACGGCAGGGGCCCAACTGGAGGACACCCAAGAGGTCAGCAGGCCCTGACCATCTGGGCCTAAGGGTGACACTGCACCCAGAGGAGCACTCCACTGTGAGTGAGGGTCAGCAGAGACAGTTCACATTGCAGACTGCAAGCTGATGTCTTGTTCTCGCCTTTAACAAAGAGGATGCTGAGAAGGATTGAACGCGCTGGGCTCAGTGATCAGAGTGGAGTCCTCACCCTAGCACTTCCGTGACTTTGTCTCAGAGGAAAAAGAATGTGTTGCTGACATTGAAAGACTTCAAACAAAAACCTATAGATGTATCAACATGTAAACGCCCACCTCTGATTACAGAAACAAATACTGTAACATTTTCTCTTGAAACCGTAAGGAACTGGCCCTACAGGGTTCACTATTTTTCTTGGTAACAACTAGCTTGAGCTGGGCATTGGACAGGTGTCCCCTCCCAGGATGTCCCCGTCCCCACCACTCCCTTTCATCTTAAACTATCTGTCTCCACCATTGCATGGAACTTCCCAGTCCCTGTGGGCATCTGATTTTAAAATTGTCAACGTGTATTTTCTCAGGTTCCTCACTTCCTAGTGGTGAGAGACCTTGACCTTTTCTCTGGCTCTGTTTTATAACCTGAAAGACTCAGATAACCCTGCCTTGGAACACTGGGGTGAGATCTACAATAAAAATGTATAGAAAGGAGGAAACACTTATCTATCCCAGTGCCTGGCACATGGCAGTTACCATATAAATAATAGCAAGGATTAGCACTGTAGTTTTTCTGCTGTTCAGGACCTGGGCCTAGTTTCCTGCTTGGAAATGAGGTTTCTGCTCCTGGGCTCCTGCTTGGCCCACAATAGCTGTCTCCTATCACTCCAGCCTGCAGATTCATCCCAGCCCAGAGAGCCCCAGGGACTGGAGGCAGCCAGCTGCAGCCTTGCCTTTGAATGTAAATATTAGTGTTGGCCCAGCCAGGGAGCACGGGATACAGAAGAGCCAGTGCTGGAGCCTCCAGCAGCCCGTCTGCCAGAAGCTGCCCACCTCAGGGACTACCCCAGCCTTGTTCTCCAGCCCTCCAGGCTGCATACTGGAGGCTGGAGCAGGGAGAGCTCAGCTGGTGACTTGTGCACCCCGTCCTGAGACCAAGAAGGGATGATCAGAGCATCTGCCAGAGGCCACCAGGCCTGGGGCCTTTGACTGCAACAACATGAAAGGGAGGCTAGAGCTGAGGCTCCTCCTGGCTCTAACAATGAGCCTCTCAGAGAGGGGTCCGAAGAGCTCAGGCTTCCCTCAGGAAGAGCCAGTCCAGGCAGGAGGCAGTTGGCTTCTGTGGCTCAAGCTGAGGGACCTACTGCAGCTATAATTATCTGGTTATTTCAGGCACAAGCAAAAAAACCAAAGCCAGAGGCTTTGGACCAGCTGCAGAGGCTCAGCTATTTGTCACTGGCCGAAACCAGGAACCCACTCCAGCTACTTGAAGCTTTGAATGTGGAGAGGGCGGGTTATTGTCACTCTGGGGGCTCTAAGAGACATGGGAACTGAGGGGCAGTGTGTTCTCTTCTCTCTGGACAGCCTGCTTCAGGACACTTCCTGACTTCTGGGCCCTGCTGGGACTCAGCAGCCCTCTCCTACCCTGTGGCTCCCTGGGGGAGGTAGTGGTCTACCAGTGTGGCCTGTGGACTCCATTGGGCCTGGGGTGACATCTGGCTCTGCCCCTTACTAGCTGTATATCTTGGAAACTTCTCTGTGCTTCCATAAGAGTTGTCTGAAGGATGAAATGGGGAGGCTACTGTCCCTTCCTTAGTGCAGAGGGAAACCTCTGGCCCCAAGGTGAATATGTTGTATACTCTGGGCAGGCGTTGTGACCAACATCATGTAGGCTGCTCACCAATCTGCAGATAATTGGCTATGTTCCTGTGCTGACTCAATCAGTGACCACCTCCTCCCCTATCATGGCAACCCCCTGACATGTATACAAGGGAATACTATGCATCAGTTCACAAGGTATAGGGCCTACCTGCACTCACTGACATGGAAGAACTTGTTAGCAGAGGCTGGGAGAGGTCACCTGCCTCATGATGGGCTAGTGGACATTTGGGGACAGCACATGTGTCATTTCCTGGCTCATCTCTTCCCTATGCATGGGCAGGTACTGTAGGCTAATGCAGATCCTCTTAATTATGGCCAAGCACAAAGCCCCTCCTGACTCTAACTCCCTACGTGAAGCCAACCTCTGCCCCACCTCCCACAGCAGAATCACCACAAATATCTTGCACACAATGAGCCTTTGCTGGGGAAAATCCCTCTGGGCTCCAGTCACTGCCAAACCGGGCAAGTGCTCCAACGTTCCAGAATTATCAGCCCTGAGCTAACAGTGACAGATGAACAGAGAGGCAAACGGGGACAGTGAGCAACCAGATCTATTTCCCAGCCCCAAAACTTCGTCTGGGCTTCCCCCCAACAAAAGACAAATTTCTCTGCAGAGGTGTCCACAGAGCCTCATGTTGGAGTCAGTTTTGTTCCCATGAACAGCTGAAGAATGAGGCCACAGGGGCAGGCAGCAGACTCCCCGATGCCACCCTGAGCCTCTCCCCCGTCCCCCCATGATACTTCCTTGTGACTGGGTCAGAGAGCCACTGAAGCACTGGAACAGCAAAGAAGCAGGTGAGAAATACAGTCTTTGGGTGCAGAGGGATAGGTCGTCTGGGTGGAAAGCAGACAGCTGCAGTGCCCGGGATTCATCTTGCCCCCCAGCATCCATTCTGAGCAGTTTGTCCAGCCAGCCAGGCCCCAGCAGCCCTCTGATTATGGTGGCTTCTGTGGAGGCAACAGATAGAGGCTGGGAAAAGGCTTCCAGGACAGTAGGGCCAGAAGATGTTCAAATCAACATCCAGGGGCCACAGAAAGGACAGGGGCACTCATACATGTGGAGCTATCAGGGCTGGGCACCCCTGAAGCTGTGGGATAAAATAACACTGCAACTTACAGGAGGAGTGGTTTACTCTGGCTCACAGTTTGGGAGACTTCAGTCCAAGGTATCTGGCTCCAGGCTAGAAACATCATGGTGGAAGGGCGTGGTGGAGAAAAGCTGCTCGCTTCACAGTAGTCAGGAGGCGGAGAGTAGAAGAGCACCAGTGAGAGATAGACCCTTCAGAGGCACAGCCCGGGGGCTCATCTCCTACTAACACATCACTGTGAACCCAGGGATTAACCCACTGAGGAGGACAATGCCTCCAGGATCCAGTCACCTCTCCAGGAGTCTCTTCTCAATCAAGTTGACAATTACAATTAGCTGGCACATCAGACCCCTTACCAACACCCTGTGTTCATCCCTTTTGTGCTATTATAATGAAATACCTGAGGCTGGGTAATTTGTAGGGCAAAGGACTGCCTTCCTCTTACAGCTCTGGGAGCTGAAAGTCCAAAGAGCACAGCACCAGCTGGCTATATCTCATCAAGGTGAACTGCATCATGGGAGCACATATAGAAGGGAGAGACCATGTGTGTGAGAGACAGGAAACAGAGCACAGAGAAGCAGACCTCTCTCTCTCTCTCTCTCTCTCTGTCTTTTGAGACAGGGTCTCTCTGTGTAGTTTTGGCTGGGCTTGGACTCACTATGTAGTCCAGGCTGGTCTTGAATTCATGGCAAACCTCAGCCTCCGGAGTGCCGGGATTACAGGCATGAGCCACCCTGCCCAGCAGACTTGCTCTCTTATAACACCCTCTCCTGAGACAAGCAGGATCCTGGGAGATCCGCATCAGCTCCTTCCCAGGACAGCACCCATTGTCACCTAATCCCCTCCCATGGGCCCCACCTCATAAAGGCTCCAACACCTCCCCCCACCTCTCCCAACACACTCAATACGGAGTACACCCATGTGCACTGCTACCTGACCACACGGTGCAGTAAAAGCCATCCATCCACCATCAAGGGGACTGGAGTGACTCCCCCTCAGGCCCAGCAGGTGCCTATCAGCCACTTTCTGCATGACCTAACCCGGGGGGCTCATGGCCTGGAAGGGCAGCCAAAGCACACACCATTGAACACTGTGGTTGATACCAAATGTTCTACCAGCCTAGTCTGGCTGGTGTGCCGCTGATCTAGGCTGGACGCGGCTGGGCTGGGTTTCAGGCGGTGTCTCTATGCCTCTGGGCCAGTAGCTCCATGGATAATGTTATTCGAACAATGACAGCCATAGTACAAGCAAGACAAGTAGAGACAGTCACAGTCTCATTAGGCCCACACTCAGATCTGGGCAGCACTGATCCTGCCCTCACTCTGTTGGACAAGGCCAGTCTCCGGGCATAGGCCGATGTCGTCAGGAGGGGAGGTGTACTCCTTCCATTGAGTAGGGAAGGAAGCAGTGAAGACTAGCTGACAACAGCCTCATCAACACAGCTCCCTATCGTGTGTGTGTTCACATGTGTGCAAAGAGGAACGCACAAAAATATTCAAAGCACAGTTTGTGATACTGAACACTAGGGGGAAAAACAAATCTTCACCCACTGGAAGGGATGAAATAACCCATTCCTCAAGATTACAGCAGAATGCTACACAGCAGTTAAAAAGGAATGCCCCGTCTTCATTAAATGATACAGAAAGATTCCCCCAAGCCATGTAGGTGAGAAAAGCAGTTACAGAACATATACAAGATGCTCTTGGTGGGGAGAGGGACACAGCCCACTAATGTGTGTGTGTGTGTGTGTGTGTGTGTGTGTGTGTGTGTGTCTATAAAAGGAAAACAGGGAGGCAGGTCACACACAATTTTATCTGTGGGAAGAATTTTTGAATTGCTTTAATTTTTTCAAAGGGAATGCACTTATATATGTGGATTTTTATTATTATTTAAATACCAAAAGAAAAAAATTGTAAACACCATTGTTAAGAGCCTGAGACCTCATTAGACAAGAATGTTTTAGGACTTAGGAATGCTTGAATCTTGCCAAACTAGAGCTGCTCCTCCCTGATCCTGTCCCACGGTGCTTTAGAGACACAAGCCCACATGAGCAATCCAGAGAAGGGAACTCCCATGGCCCCTGGATGATGGGCAGGGTGACAGTACCCAGTGGGCAGCACCCTGGAGGGCACTGAGCTGAAGCCCAGAGGAGGCCTCGGAAGCACCACTAGTCCAAAGCCCCGGGCTCTCATCCAGCTGCCTTCGAGGCCCAACAGCACCAGTGAGTCAGAGTAGCTCATGAGAAGCGGGAAAGAGGCAGGACAGATGGCCACGAGGGCCCTGAAGACACTGGACCCAAGCTGCTTAGCTGTCCAGCCCTGGACAGGCAGAGAGAAGAGGGAACCCAGCCATGGGAGGGCCTTGGAAGTACAGAGCAACCCAGCCCACGGGGCCACCCCACTCCCTGTTGTCATTCCCTCCTCCTGGGAGAGGAGAGAAAGGACAAAGGGCAGAGGTCACTGCCTCTATAATCTGGCCCTCTAGGCCACACTGTCCAAGAGGGCCACTGCTAGCCCGAGGAGCTGTAAACTAACTAGACTCACAGGCCCGCTTCTCTGCCACATTGACAATTTTAGATGCTTGACAGCCACACGTAGCTAGTGGTTGCTGCCCTTGGCAGTAGATGGGCATGCTGCCATCCACGGGGGTGCTCCTGCTGGGCAATGCCACCCCAAGCTTCACCACAGCTCTCAAATAGAGCAATGCAGGCGCCCCTGCCCCCACTGCAGACCTTGCACTTGGCTTTGGACTTGGGGGTGGAGGGATGAACCCTACTCTTCCGCTCTGAGTGTCATTAACATTTCATTTCAAAATCTCTGTGGTTGGGACTGTTTTGGGAGGCCTCTAGAAGATGTCAACAGCTCTGTCTCCCTCCAAGCAGGAGCAGAGGGCAGGCTGAGCAGTCCTGGGCCCAGCCCCACAGAAGGGGGCCCTGCTCTGTCTCCCCTCCCTGTCTCTCCCCTGTAGGTCAGGGATGTCTCAACCTGCTTGAACTGTAGTAACAAAGTGCCATAGGCTTGGATGAATTTCTCCCGACTCTGGAGGCTGACAGGTCCCAGATCAAGGCCCGGGCAGAGCTGGTGTCCAGCGGGGGGCCTGTTCCTGGTTCACAGATGAGATCTTTTTGCTCTGTCTTCACATGGAGGAGGGGCACAGAAGAGAACCCAGGGGCCTCTTCTAGAAAAGCACTAAGCACGAGTCACAAGGTCTCTACCTCCATTACCTAATCACCTCCCGAGAGGCCTCACATCCCAACACCAAGTCCTTAGGGATTAAGATTCCATCCTCCAAGATTAGGGGAGATCCCAGCATCCTCACTGCAGCAGGCAGAAACCCTTGGTACAGGAGCCATGGCCCCAGTCCAGCCCGCCCAGCAAGCCCACTGCCCCACCCTTTGCATGAAGGAATGCTCTCCATGAAAACCCTCCTGTGGCCCCCAGAGGGATCCCCACGCTTCCGTTCTCAGACTCACACCTTCCACAAGAAACTGCTTGGGCTCTGCCCTCCAGGTCCCCAGGGGCCACCTTTCCCCACCCACTCTCACCCCCACCCACTCTCACCCCCACCCCCATGGCTGAAGGCCGTGCTTGGCGAAGTCTGCAGGAACCGCCCCAAAAGCCTAAGAAATCCACAGGAGAAAACCCAGATTCTTGGCTTCCTGCAACAAACCAGAACTTTGGGCCAGTATGGGTCTATGATGGGCCAGCAGACTCTTAGAGAGGCCAAGTCCTCCTTCAGCAATGACGGGGCACTTCCTTTCTCCTCCTGTGAGCCCCCTGACTCTGGGGACATCGAATCACTCTGCTCTCACCATCTTCTCTCTCTTCCTCAGGAATCCACTGTCACCACTCTCTGGGGTCCTCACGTGCATTTGGAGACGCCTCCAGTCTGCATGTCACCCTGCATCTCCACACTGCCTGAGCACCGGGGCAGGGGGGTCTGGGGGGAGACATCTTCCTGCCTCCCCCTCTGCACAGACCCCACAGCTCACATCACTCTCACCTATGCTGCCCCAACCCCTGCACATAGGTCACCCTCCATCAGGAGCTCCTGACTTGCCTCAGTTTTAACAGCCAGCATGCATTCATTCATTTGTTGCTGTTTGTTAAGCATGTACTTACTGTGTGCCAGGCACTATCACAGGGGCAGTGAATAGACAAAAATCTCTGTGCCGTTTGGGCTTCCATTCTGGAGGAGAGGAGCAAGGAGGAAGCAAGATACATGAGAAAAGGATCTCAGTATGTCAAAAGCAGTCAGTGCTACTATGGAGGGAGAGGACAGCGGAGGGAGGGCAGAGAAGCGGGCGCAGGTGTCATTTGAATTAGGTAGTGAGGACGGACCTCACTAAGAAGATGACATTTGAGCCATGGCTTATAAGCAGTGAAGAGGTGAAGCACGCAGATAGGAGCAGGAAAAGCCACTCAGGCCAAGGACACAGCAGAGGAAAAGCCCCGAGGCAGGCTGCACCTGGTGTGTTCAAGAAATAGCAAAGAGCTGTGAATGGTGGGGGCAGAGGAAAGGGGCAGGGTGGATGATCGGGAGATGACTGGGGCTGTCTGGTGAGAGGAGAGTTTTTTTTTCTCTCAAATTTTTATTTACATTAGAACATGTTTGCAATACATAATGATTACGTTTAGGGTGAGAAGCTGGGGAATCTGTAAAGAACAGAAACTTATTTCTGGCAAGTCCAAGCTGGGAGGCCCCACTTGCAGCAGAGCCTTTGTGTGGTGTCACCCACGGCAAAAGGCAGAATGGCAATTCGGGCTAGACCTTGTGATCCTCCTGCCTCAGCTTCTCCAAATGAAGCCTTCCACACTGTAGAATCATTGTGTTGTTGTCACTCCTGCTTCTGACCGACTGGGCACAGCTGGGTCATGTCCCTCAGGGTCATCCATGCCATAGCCAGGCAGGGACTGAAGACAGAGGCCTCTCATGTGCCTGCTGCCTGGGCTGGGGGGTCCTGGGGGTCTTGCCCTCTTCCTCTGGTCTCCCCAGTATGGTGGCCACAAGCAGTCCGACCTCCTTCCTGCAGGCTCAGAGCTCCAAAGCTACCACCAGGAAGATAGAGTCAGGTAGAAGCTGTGTCACTGTTGTGGCAGAGGACAAATATGCCACCTTTACCTCATTCTCATTGCTGGGATCAAGTCACTAAGCTCAGCCCATACACCAGAGAAAGGGAATTAGGCTTGACTTCTTGAAGGAAGTACTGTATCAAAGAATGTGTCGTAAAACCTCTACAATTTGATTTCTGTCCCTCAGTGTTCACATCTCTAAAATGAGAACCATGATGAAAAGAACAGTGTCCTTCAAAGGGCTACTGCGAGAATGACATGAGATAATTCCAGTGAAACAATTATACAATGTACCATACATAGTAAACACTTTTATAAATGGTTAATCATGTCATGTAGATTAAAATAAAGTAAATTTTAGCTGGGCCTGGTGGCACATACTTGTCTACCTAGCACTTGGGAGGCTGAGGTAGGACTGCTGAGAGTTCAAGGCCAGCCTGGGCTACATAGTGAGTTCAAAGCCTGCCTGAACTACATAGAGAGACCCTGGCTCATAAAAAAAAAGAAACAAACAAAAAACATTTAAGCCAAATGCCTGCCTTTCCCCAAGTCTTTAGATGTCCTCCTGGGGTT